ATGCTGGGATGAAGGGCTACCAAGTTTGTTCAAATAAATGACCTTGACCCACTTTCAAGGTCACAGGGGTCAAATATGTTTAAAACCTTTAAACAACTTTTTCTGAATAACCGAGAGGCCTAGGGTGATGATATTTGGGCAGTAATATGCTGGGATGAAGGGCTACCAAGTTTGTTCAAATAAATGACCTTGACTTATACTCAAGGTCACAGAGGGCAAATATGTTTTAAACATTTAAACAACTTCTTCTGAATAACCGATAGGCCTAGGGTGATGATATTTGGCTAGTAGCATGCTGGGATGAAGGGCTATAAAGTTTGTTCAAATGAATGACCTTCATCTTTTTTCAAGGTCACAGGGTCAAATATATTCTTAACCTTTAAACAACTTCTTCTGAATAACCAAGAGGCCTAGGATAATGCCAGTAACATGCTGAGATGAAGGACTACCAAGTTCAAATGAATGACCTTGACATATATATTTTAAGGTCACAGGGGTCAAATATGTTTTAAACCATTGAATGACTTCTTCTTAATAAGCAAAAGGCCAAGGGTGATGATATTTGGCCATTAACATGCTGGGATGAAGGACTACCAAGTGAATGACCTTCGCCCATATTCAAGGTCACAGTGTTCAATATTTGTTTAAATCTTAAAATGATTTGTTCTGTATAACCAAAAGGTCCAGGGTAATGATATTTTTCCAGAAGCATGCTGGGTTGGAAAACTATAAACTCTGTTCAACCTAATATTATAATGTCCTTGTTCGACATTCAAGGTCACAGGTGTCATATGTTTAAATCTTTTAATAGGTTCTTATGATTGAAACACTGATATTTTGCCTGTAACTGTATTTTAGTCCACTTTTAAGATTACAAGTGTGAGATTAATACCAGGTGAGCAATGCAGGCCCATTGGGCCTCTTGTATTTATATCTACTTTCTTAATAACAGGTTGAGGACTTGGATGTAAAGTTCTCTGAGGAGGCAGAAAGCAAGGTGAAGGAGGACTGCGTACCTGGTACTCCCTTCCTAACCCTCCACACACAGGTAGGTGATGTAATATGTGACAGCCCAGTATCAGTGTATATGTAGGTAATGGCCAGCCTTAGAGTGATGTGTTATGTTACTGCCCTGTGTCAGTGTGTGTAGGTATAATGGCCAGCTTACAGTGATGTGTTATATTACAGCCCAATGTCAGTGTGTGTAGGTGTAATGGCCAGCCTTACAGTGATGTGTTATGTTTCAGCCCAATGTCAGTGTGTGTAGGTATAATGGCCAGCCTTACAGTGATATGTTATATTACAGCCCAATGTCAGTGTGTGTAGGTAATGGCCAGCCTTACAGTGATGTCTTATGTTACAGCCCAATGTCAGTGTGTGTAGGTAATGACCTGCCTTACAGTGATGTGTTATGTTACGGCCCAGTGTCAGTGTGTGTAGGTAATGGCCAGCCTTACAGTGATGTGTTATATTACAGCCCAATGTCAATGTGTGTAGGGATAATGGTCAGCCTTACAGTGATGTGTTATATTACAGCCCAATGTCAGTGTGTGTAGGGGCAATGGCCAGCCTTACAGTGATGTGTTATGTTTCAGCCCAATGTCAGTATGTGTAGGTATAATGGCCAGCCTTACAGTGATGTGTTATATTACAATATTACAGTCCAATGTCAGTGTGTGTAGGTAATGACCAGCCTTACAGTGATGTGTTGTATTACAGCCCAGTGTCAGTGTGTGTAGGTAATGGCCAGGCTTACAGTGATGTGTTATGTTTCAGCCCAATGTCAGTATGTGTAGGTATAATGGCCAGCCTTACAGTGATGTCTTATGTTACAGCCCAATGTCAGTGCGTGTAGGTAATGACCTGCCTTACAGTGATGTGTTATATTACAGCCCAATGTCAATGTGTGTAGGTATAATGGTCAGCCTTACAGTGATGTGTTATATTACAGTCCAATGTCAGTGTGTGTAGGTAATGACCAGCCTGACAGTGATGTGTTATGTTACAGGCCAATGTCAGTGTGTGTAGGCAATGACCAGCCTTACAGTGATGTGTTATGTTACAGCCCAATGTCAGTGTGTGTAGGTAATGACCAGCCTGACAGTGATGTGTTATGTTACAGGCCAATGTCAGTGTGTGTAGGCAAGGACCAGCCTTACAGGGATGGGTTATGTTACAGCCCAATGTCAGTGTGTGTAGGGAATGGCCAGCCTTACAGTGATGGGTTATATTACAGCCCAATGTCAGTAGGTATAATGGCAAGCCTTACAGTGATGTGTTATGTTACAGCCCAATGTCAGTGTGTGTAGGGAATGGCCAGCCTTACAGTGATGTGTTATATTACGGCCCAGTGTCAGTGTGTGTAGGGAATGGCCAGCCTTACAGTGATGTGTTATATTACAGCCCAATGTCAGTAGGTATAATGGCAAGCCTTACAGTGATGTGTTATGTTACAGCCCAATGTCAGTGTGTGTAGGTAATGACCAGCCTTACAGTGATGTGTTATGTTACAGCCCAATGTCAGTGTGTGTAGGTAATGGCCAGCCTTACAGTGATGTGTTATATTACAGCCCAATGTCAGTGTGTGTAGGTATAATGGCCAGCCTTACAGTGATGTGTTATATTACAGCCCAATGTCAGTGTGTGTAGGTATAATGGCCAGCCTTACAGTGATGTGTTATATTACAGCCCAATGTCAGTGTGTGTAGGTATAATGGCCAGCCTTACAGTGATGTGTTATATTACAGCCCAATGTCAGTGTGTGTAGGTATAATGGCCAGCCTTACAGTGATGTGTTATATTACAGCCCAATGTCAGTGTGTGTAGGTATAATGGCCAGCCTTACAGTGATGTGTTATATTACAGCCCAATGTCAGTGTGTGTAGGTATAATGGCCAGCCTTACAGTGATGTGTTATATTACAGCCCAATGTCAGTGTGTGTAGGTATAATGGCCAGCCTTACAGTGATGTGTTATATTACAGCCCAATGTCAGTGTGTGTAGGTATAATGGCCAGCCTTACAGTGATGTGTTATATTACAGCCCAATGTCAGTGTGTGTAGGTATAATGGCCAGCCTTACAGTGATGTGTTATATTACAGCCCAATGTCAGTGTGTGTAGGTATAATGGCCAGCCTTACAGTGATGTGTTATATTACAGCCCAATGTCAGTGTGTGTAGGTATAATGGCCAGCCTTACAGTGATGTGTTATATTACAGCCCAATGTCAGTGTGTGTAGGTATAATGGCCAGCCTTACAGTGATGTGTTATATTACAGCCCAATGTCAGTGTGTGTAGGTATAATGGCCAGCCTTACAGTGATGTGTTATATTACAGCCCAATGTCAGTGTGTGTAGGTATAATGGCCAGCCTTACAGTGATGTGTTATGTTACAGCCCAATGTCAGTGTGTGTAGGTAATGGCCAGCCTTACAGTGATGTGTTAAATTACAGCCCAATGTCAGTGTGTGTAGTATAATGGCCAGCCTTACAGTGATGTGTTATATTACAGCCCAATGTCAGTGTGTGTAGGTATAATGGCCAGCCTTTCAGTGATGTGTTATGTTACAGCCCAATGTCAGTGTGTGTAGGTATAATGGCCAGCCTTTCAGTGATGTGTTATGTTACAGCCCAATGTCAGTGTGTGTAGGTATTGGCCAGCCTTACAGTGATGTGTTATGTTACAGCCCGATGTCAGGGTGTGTAGGTAATGGCCAGCCTTACAGTGATGTGTTATGTTACAGCCCAATGTCAGTGTGCGTGTAGGGAACTGCCAGCCTTACAGTGGCCTGTTTGAAGTGACCCTGCCAATCTTTGAAGGTGATGTCAAGTCAAAGATAATTTGCAGACTAATGAAGACTGATCGTTCCAAGATGAAGGGTAAGGAACTTTTCATATGATACATTCTGGGTTCTAGTTGTTTTAACATCATTGACACAATAACATGAAATGTCAGTGGAGTGAATCAGAAAGGTAGGACATATTTAAAACAGCACTTTTAAAACTTAATTTGTGAAAAGATATTAATTAATAATGTAATGCTGGGAAACATTCTTTTCACAGCTATGTTATATCTGTGTGTCAGTGTCACAGTGACATACTCATCAACTCTCATCAACTCAAGCTTGTTACCTTCTGTTTGTAAACATTTCTTTGTCACACAAACTGAAAATGTCAGAATATTATCTGAGAATCTGTACCAATCATTTTTATCTTAAATCCTTTCTGTTTTAGATCCGAGACAGGTGGAGATAATGGTGTTTAGCTCCGAGCAAGAGATGAGAAGGGTACCTGATCTAAATGACCCCAACCGTGGCCAGACTGTCCTGTCTGATAATGCTGTGTTTCACATTGATGTGGATGCTAACACAGTTTCTATACAGACCAACAGTAAATCTGTGGATATCAGCACACTACTTACCTATACCGTCAAGTCAGAATGAAATGTCTGTGGACTTTAGCACACTACAACTAACATACAGTTTAAAAAACATGAATGTATTTGTTTAAGAATAAGGTTGCTTGACTTAATCCATCAAATACATTTGTTTTTCTTAAAGATATCATCTGAAAATGAAATGTGTACATCTGGTAAAGAAATGTCAACATCTGGCTATGAAATGTGAACAACTGGCTATGAAATGTGTACAACTGACAATGAAATGTGTACATCTGACAATGAAATGTGTACATCTGGTAAAGAAATGTGTACAACTGACAATGAAATGTGTACATCTGGTAAAGAAATGTGTACATCTGACAATGAAATGTGTACATCTGACAATGAAATGTGTACATCTGACATCCCTAATAAATGATTTTTGGAATATTTTCTTCAGCATTATGTTGAGGTGCATTACTTTGTTATAATCTATTCGACTTCAAAAGGTTTGATCCTTTGTGTCATATTCTTACAATTTTCCATCCGTCCATTCTTAAAAATTATTCTTAGCGCTATTTCTCAGAAAGCACTATAAGGATCTTTCTCAAATTTTACATGTAGCCACCCCATGGTGTCTCATTATTTATATTGAATTTTAGGACTGATAAGAAAACAGAGATCGCCGGCAGGCAGCCATCTTGAATTAAGATAGTTAAAGTTTGTTAGTGTTTTTTCTCCAAAAGTAATGGAGGGTTCTTTCTCAAATTTTACATGAAGGTACCCCATGGTCCCTGAAAATGCATATCCAATTTTGGGACTGATCGGTAAACCAAGATGGTTGATGAGCAGCTTTTGATAGTTAAAGTATGTTTGGGCTATTTCTCAATAAGCATTGGAGGGATCTTTCTCAACTTTTACACAAAGGTTACCCCAATGGTCCCTACTTATCAATATCTTTATACCCCCTGCAACGAAGTAGGAGTGGGAGGGGGTATACTGGAATCAGCTTGTCTGTCCACCCGTCTATCTGTCCTTAGACAAAATTTGTCCAGCTATGCATTCGCTCATTTTTCTATACATTTCTTTTGAAAAAAATGTGTAGTGGCAGTACCATGCAGATGTGCCAACCCTTCCTCTTTTGGCCTAATTCTTACGATTTTAACATAAAAAATACACCTTACAATTTTGTGTATTCACTGTAGGATTCTGTCTTATTTCCGCCGATTCTGGAAATTTCTGAAGCATATATGTGACTGATCACACTTCCTCTTTCTTTAGCGAGAAAATGGAGGAAAATTGTGTTCTTGACGAATGTTAAAATGGATAGTTCAGGTAGCCCAACCCAGAAATCAAAAAGCAATGGAATCAAAAATTTAAACCTGAATACAGAGAATGACATTGCCATTGTCATTATACAATTTACGTTTAGGGGGTGGGGGGAGTAGTAATACAGCTCTAGTTGGGACTGATAAGAGAAACAGGATGACCACCAGACAGCTATCCTCAATTTGGCAGTTCAATTTTGTTATCTCAATTTTAAGCCCACCAACATCAGATGGTGTGCTATTCAAATCACCCTGCATCCGTGATCTGTCCTCTGTCCGTCATACTGTCCGTCCGTCCTTAAACAATTCTTGTTAGCGCTATTTCTCTTAAGTACTGGAGGGATCTTTTTTCAAATAACACACATATAACTGACATAGAACTAATTAAGATTGTACTATGGTGGGTGCCAAGATCCCTCTGGGGTCTCTTGTATATGCATGTTCCCTCATAAAAAAATCCCCTGGCCCTAATGAGAATTCATCCGTCATTTGCCGAAAGGTGGCCATCTTTGATTTTGACGGCTAAGCGTTGTTAGCTCACCTGGCACAAAGTGCCTGTGTGTTGTCCATCATCCGTCAACATTCTCTATGAACTACTTCTCAAGAATTGGAGGACTTGATATTTGGCCAGTATGTACCTGTGACAGTGTTATATATGGTCCTCAAATAAATTACCTTGACCTACATTCAAGGTCACAGGGGTCAAATATGTAATAGTCTTCAAACAACTTCTTAATAAGTAGGATCGAGGTTCAGGGTGACGATGTTTGGCCATAGGTATCTGTGATGTAGTGCTATAAAGTTTTTTCAAATAAATGACCTTTGAACAACTTAAATGAATGACAGGAGTTGTGCTCACTTTTGCTCTCTGCAGCCCTGGAATATGTCAGCAAAATCAAAGGTTCAGTGTGCTCCACCTTGTGGATGAGACAAGGAGACTAGTTTGATCCTTTGATGTACATCAAAAGAATCTCCTGGTCGCATAACGGTAAATGTCGTGTGTTGCTCCTTTGTAATCTTCAAAGGACAGTTATCAGCCTGTGATTGGTCAAGGATTTTCACCCGAGACCAGTCCAATAGCTAGCTATGTGCTTTCAGTTTTGCTATAACATATTTCAGGGGTGCATGGAGCTATAAAGTTTCCTACAATAAATGACCTTGACCTAGTTTCAAAGACACAGTTGTCAAATATATCAAAATCTTTAAACAACTCCTCAATAAGCAGCAGGCTCAGGGTGATGATATTTGGCCCAATATGTACCTTTGCAGAGTGCTATAAAGTTTCCTCCAATAAATGACCTTGAATTACTTTAAAGGCCACAGTGGTCAAATATATACAAATCTTTGAACAACTTCTTTTATATAACCAGGAGGCCCATGATGATGATAAAGGCCAGTAGGTGTGATGTGGTGCCATAAGCTTTCCTCAAATCTATGGCCTTACATATAAAAACCTTCAAACAACTCCATCTGCATAGCCAGGAGGCCCTGGGACAGTTGGGTGATGATATTTGACCCATAGTTTGCTGGGATAGCGTAGTAAAATGTTTCAGTAAATGCTCTTGACCTGCGTTAAAGGTCACGAGTCAATGTGGAAAAATATTAAGTGCATGTATGAAATATCCTTGGACCAAAAGGCCTCAACTTTGTAGAAACAGAGGGTCTAGCTCCCCAAATTGCAGCAGGATTAAGTTATCTAAATCATTTAGCCTGCAATATATTCTTAAGCCAACATTTTCCCCATGATTGCTTTAATATCAAGATGTTATTGCATTTCTTAAAAATGACCTAATGGATCTTCCACAAATTTGATTTGTAGGTTCACCGAAAGTACTGGTCTATAGCCGTGCATGTATTGGCAGGTTTGTTGTCTCTATTTCACCGAAAGTACTGGAAGGATCTTTCTCTAATTTATTATGTAGGTTTCCCTTGGTCTATAGCCGTGCATGTATTGGCAGGTTTGTTATCGCTATTTCACAGAAAGTACTGGAAGGATCTTTCTCTAATTTATTATGTAGGTTTCCCTTGGTCTATAGCCGTGCATGTATTGGCAGGTTTGTTATCGCTATTTCACCGAAAGTACTGGAAGGATCTTTCTCTAATTTATTATGTAGGTTTCCCTTGGTCTATAGCCGTGCATGTATTGGCAGGTTTGTTATCGCTATTTCACAGAAAGTACTGGAAGGATCTTTCTCTAATTTATTATGTAGGTTTCCCTTGGTCTATAGCCGTGCATGTATTGGCAGGTTTGTTATCGCTATTTCACCGAAAGTACTGGAAGGATCTTTCTCTAATTTATTATGTAGGTTTCCCTTGGTCTATAGCCGTGCATGTATTGGCAGGTTTGTTATCGCTATTTCACAGAAAGTACTGGAAGGATCTTTCTCTAATTTATTATGTAGGTTTCCCTTGGTCTATAGCCGTGCATGTATTGGCAGGTTTGTTATCGCTATTTCACCGAAAGTACTGGAAGGATCTTTCTCTAATTTATTATGTAGGTTTCCCTTGGTCTATAGCCGTGCATGTATTGGCAGGTTTGTTATCGCTATTTCACAGAAAGTACTGGAAGGATCTTTCTCTAATTTATTATGTAGGTTTCCCTTGGTCTATAGCCGTGCATGTATTGGAAGGTTTGTTATCACTATTTCTCACTCAGCACATTGTACTGGAAGGTTCTTTCTATAATTAAATATAAGAGTTTCCTTTGGTTTGCATGTTTAATTACAAGACTGATTGGACAAAACAAAATTGCTGACAGATGGCCTTCTATGAATTTGACAGTGAATATTTGTTTTTCACTATTTTTCAGAAAGTACTTCAGGGATCTTTCTCAAATTTGATAAGCAGATTCCCGTCAGTCTATAGTTGTGTATAGTCACGATTTTTGAGACTCGAAATATATATTGCCAACATATTGCCATCTTGGATTTCGACAGTTAATTGTTGTAATCTCTATCAATTGTTAATTCTATCAACCTCCTTTTTAGCTCACCTGGCACAAAGCATCAAGTGAGCTTATGCCGTGGCGCGGCGTCCGTCCGGCGTCAATATTTTACTTTGAAAGACTTCTTAATAACCTGAAAGGCCTAGGATGATGATATTTGGCCAGAAGCAAACTGGGATGAAGGGCTACCAAGTTTGTTCAAATGAATGACCTTCAATTATATTCAAGGTCACAGGGTTCAATTGTCTTAAAAAAACTTTCAACAATTTCTTCTGAATAACCAAAATGCCCAGGGTGATGCTATTTGGCCAGTAGCATGCTGAGATGAAGGGCTACAAAGTTTGTTCAAATGAATGACCTTCATCCATATTCAAGGTCACTGGGGTCAATTATGTTAAAAACTTTAAACATCTTCTTCTTGATAACAAAACTGCCCAGGGTGATGATATTTGGCCAGTAGCATGCTTGGGTGAAGGGCTACCAAGTTTGTTCAAATGAATGACCTTCAATTATATTCAAGGTCACAGGGTTCAATTGTCTTAAAAAAACTTTAAACAATTTCTTCTAACTAAAATGCCCAGGGTGATGATATTTAGTCAGTAGCATACTAGAATCAAGGGCTACCAAGTGTGTTTAAATGGATGACCTTGAATCATATTCAAGGTCACAAGGAGCAAATACGTTCAAAATATTTAAACAGCTTGTTCTGAATAACCAAAAGGCTCAGAATGTTGTTATTTAGTCAGTAGCATGCTGGGATCAAGGACTACTATGTTTGTTAAAGTGAATGACTTTGACTTATATTCAAGGTCACAGGGGTCAAATTTGTTTAAAATCTTTAAACGACCTCTTCTGAATAACAATGGGTCCCAGGATGTTGATACTTTGCAAGTTGCATCCTGAGATGAAAGGCTATACAATTTGTTCAACATAATGACTTAATTTTGCCTGTAGCTTTATTTTAGATCACTTTTAAGGTTACAAGTATGAGATTTATACCAGGTGAGCGATGCAGGCACATTGGGCCTATTGTTTTCTTTTTTGAGTGGGGGACAGCCTCCACTTCTATGGGATGTTGAGTCAACCAGTGGAGGTCAGTCTCCACTACTATGGGATGTTGAGTCGACCAGTTGCAGTGGAGGACAGCCTCCACTTCTATGGTATGTTGAGTCGACCAGTGGAGGACATCCTCCACTTCTATGGTATGTTGAGACGACCAGTGGAGGACATCCTCCACTTCTATGGTATGTTGAGTCGACCAGTGGAGGACATCCTCCACTTCTATGGAATGTTGAGTCGACCAGTGGGGGAAGCCTCCACTACTATGGGATGTTGAGTCGACCAGTGGAGGACATCCTCAACTTCTTTGGGATGTTGAGTCGACCAGTGGAGGACAGCCTCCACTTCTATGGGATGTTGAGTCGCCCAGTGGAGGACAGCCTCCACTACTATGGGATGTTGAGTCGCCCAGTGGAGGACAGCCTCCACTTCTTTGGGATGTTGTGTCGACCAGTGGAGGACAGCCTCCACTTCTATGGAATGTTGAGTCGACCAGTGGGGGAAGCCTCCACTACTATCGGATGTTGAGTCGACCAGTGGAGGACAGCCTCCGCTTCTTTGGGATGTTGTGTCGACCAGTGGAGAGAAGCCTCCATTTCTATGGGATGTTGAGTCGACCAGTGGAGGACAGACTCCACTACTATGGGATGTTGAGTCGACCAGTGGAGGACAGCCTCTACTTCTATGGGATGTAAAGTCGACCAGTGGAGGACATCCTCCACTTCTATGGGATGTTGAGTCGACCAGTGGAGGACAGCCTCCACTACTATCGGATGTTGAGTCGACCAGTGGAGGACAGCCTCCACTTCTATGGGATGTTGAGTCGACCAGTGGGGGAAGCCTCCACTTCTATGGGATGTTGAGTCGACCAGTGGAGGACAGCCTCCACTTCTATGGGATGTTGAGGCGACCAGTGGAGGACATCCTCCACTTCTATGGGATGTTGAGTCGACCAGTGGAGAGAAGCCTGCACTACTATGGGATGTTGAAATGATCTAGCCTCAAAAAAACACAAAAGAAATTGGTTTGGTGTTTAGATTTTATTTACAAAATGCAGAACCATCCTTTAATCAGTAATTCCCAAAGTGCTTCATTCTGAAACAGAAAAAAATAACTTTGAGTAGTTGGTTGTATAGTTGAAATATCTGAGTAATAGATGTTAAAGGAGAAATAATAACACATACCTAGTAGATCAATGACTGCAATAAAACATGAAATGCATGTAGTATTACATTAATGAAACTAAGGGGAATAACTCTATTAATTATGGTAAGTTACTAGCTCCACTAATTCATAGGGCATAATGGTAGTTTGGAATATAGAGCAGACAATGTTTCGGCTATTGAATAAAGGAGCATAAATCTGTAAATTACAGACAGATACTAGTGGTAATCTAACTGGTCTGAGCTTGCATGGTAATCAATGAAGTTTTAAGTTTCATCAATTGATTAAAGGGGCATAACTCTGTAAATTATAATAATAATAACTACTGTATTACAGATAATAGTGGTTGTCCAAGCTTATGAAGTTTGTAATTTATTTTTTGAAAATTACTCGAGCTATCAAGCGGACAAAATTTCAGCAGTTTAATAAAGGGGCAAAACTCTGCTTCAAAGGCCTACGTCATTCTTTCAGACCCCACACTTCAATGCTACTGGCCAAATACAAAAACCCTTGGTTTCTTGGCTAATCATAATAATCCAGTTATACACATTTGGACTCTGTGACCTTATACCAAATACCATTACCCCTTTATCAGAAGAATTGTTAATCAATAGATTTGAGAGCGGATCAAGGTCATTTGATAACTCGTCAAAACACTTGATCTTGACAAGTAGATCTTATAATGCATATTACAGTCAAACCTTCCCTAAGCGGTCACTTGTTATTAACAGGCACCTGATGTTAGCGGTCACTTTCGTTCTCTCCCCTACAACAAGAGGCCCAGAGGGCATGTATTGCTCACCTGGATAATAAAGATTTAAACCTCGAATTTCCCTATTGGAGCCACTCAACACTCGAAATGTAGCCCCCTTTGTCCAAGGATGGTCCAGGCTTAATTGGGAAAAAATCCCTGAGGATTTCAAAGGTTTTTACTTTTATTTCCCCTATTGGGTCCCACAACTCTGCCCAGAGGGAGTCCAAACCCACTGTTCAAGCATTCTCAAAACAAAATTGGTAATCCCTATGGCAGAAGAAGGATTTCAAATATTTTAACTCTATTTCCCCTATTAGTGGAGAACATTTAGAACGGGAGGGATTGTCAGCGCGAAAACCCCCCGACATGATGATAGTGGAGGACAATTAGAACGGGAGGGATTGTCAGCACGAAAAATCCTGGACATGTTGAGAGTGGAGAACATTTAGAAATAATATCGGAGGCATTAGATTACTGCAGTCTTATAGATGAAGTGGCGCCATCACACAAAGCAAATGAAGAGATCAAAATGATAAACTTGTGCTGGGTTTGAGTCAGTGTCCTTTCAAAGTAAGGTCATTGTTTCATAATTGGAGGTTCTTATTTACCGCTTTATCACAACCTAGTTCGTAGGTCGTCTCAAAGCGGTTCACAAATTATTATCCGTGGTTGTAGGGCCTTTGCCACCAGCCAATATATTTTTCAAACCTCGGCTAGCATTCAACAGTTCTAGTACTGCCCAACCGCGTACTCATTTGCAGCTGAGTAGACTGAAACAAGCAGAGTTACATATCTTACTCAAAGATACAACACACTGCCATGCCATGACTCAAGCCCACTATCCTACAACTAGACTACCATCGCCTCCTTGTGATAACAAACTTAAAATCTCAAAATCCAAGATTGCTTTCTCTTATTTCTCCGATCTGTCCATAATGAAATTTTCACAACTCTGGACCAAGGGGAACTTTCACATGAAATTTGAGAAAGATCTGTCAGATACTTATCGAGAACAACTTCTTCTAAATAACTAAAAAAAGCCTAGGGTCACCGTGATGGTATTAGGCCAGTTACATGCTGGGATGAAGGGCTATCAATCTTGTTCAAATGAATGACCTTCACCCATATTCAAGGTCGCAGGGGTCAAGTGTGTTAAAACAAAGTTTAAACTATTCCTCCTATATAGCCATAAAGCATAGGGTGATGAGCTATTAAGTCCCATGCCTGAATCACCATGATGTCATATCCATTTTTTTCCTAATTGTAATAACTCCATAATGAATAAAGCCATCAAATTCATCTCTGGGTATGATATGTAGACCAACAATGCAAAACTTTTTTAAGGAAAAATGTTTGTGCCAAAGGTCAACTTTCAGTTTTTGCTCCGGGTCAAAGTTCAAATGCACTATTTTAGGTAACAAATTTTGAAAGGCCTGTTCTCAAATTCTTCAAAGTCTAGAGTCTTGACATTGATCTGTAAGTTGCTGAGATGGTTGGCTATCCGGTTTGAGAAAAATGATTGACCTTGATTCACATGTTCTAAAAAGTTCAACCAGAATATTTTGAAACGGTTTAAGGTATTTACATCCAGTTAGAATGTAGAGGATAGGATACCAATGCACACATGGACTCTGGAAACATTTTGTGTCAAAGGTCAACTTTTCAATTTTCGATTGGGGTTAAAGTTCGATTGTGTTATTTCAAGGTGAAATCTTTGAAAAACTTCATCTCAAGTTCTACTAGGTCTACATGCTCAGGTGATTGGCTATCAAGTTCAAACATGTCAAAATAATCAAACAGCCTCCCGTAAATAAGGAAGAAGCCTAGGTCTATGGTATTGGGCAAGGAGAGTTCTGGAATGAAGAGCTTTGACATGGTTTCAATGAATGACCTTAATTAACATGAAATATGACTATATCAGTGAATGCCAAAATAAGTCTTAAATTTTTTACAGTTTTGGCATTGTATCAGTACTTTCAGTAGTTTGACTCATTTTAAATGAAAAACAAAGGTACTTTCAGTACTATGGTTAACATAATTCTTTTCTGCATAGAAGTTAAAGGCCATGAGGATAAAAAAGGTTTGTGATCAAAGACCAAGTCAGTCCTAACGGTGAAAAGCCGGTAAAATGATTAAACTTGTACCTATACAAAAGGGCACTGCCCTTATTTGTGCCCACAGTAAAGTAGCCTCCATTAGGTGAAAAATCCATTGATCTTGGTAAACGCAATTCATGATCATGGCTTTCTGGATAGTTAGAAAACACCGTCATGGAAGGCAGGTGAACCTGAAAAAATAAAACAAAAATCATCATCAATGTACTTATTAAAATTTATCTTCTGTTTACAGTCAGTATACAACCACTATCTATATTTAGATTAAAATCCTTTCACATATACTCTAGGAGTAGGATTTCAAAGATTTACCAATTTTTCCCCCCTATTGGGCCCCACCCCTCTTCACCCATCTTATCCAAGAGGGGTCGAGCCTTTTGGACAGATGAGCTAACTAGAAGTGTCACCCGGAGTATGACTAGTACCCCTCGCTGATACTGTTAGTTTATTCATCATTTAGTGACCTTGACCTTTGAGTTTCCGGACAAAATAATTTGAACAAAGGACCGTAACTCCCTTAAAAAGAGTTGAAATCTGAAGATAAGTTAAGAAGACGTTTTCCGGACAAGTTACTGTGGATGACGGACAGGCAGACAGGCAGACAGACAGACAGACAGGGTGATTCCAGTATACTTCGTTGGGGGGGAGGGGTATAAAAACAGTATGACAGATGGACGGCCAAGCTGATTACTATAGGGCATTGCACCTTTGGTTTGGGGCCCCAACTAGAGAATAACAAGAACACATTTTGATGAAATTTGTTACAAATATGTAACTTACTTCCTGAAAAATAGCTATTACAAACTTCAACAGTCATATTCAAGATGTCTGTTTATGGCAATCTTCTTATATTTTATCAGTCCCAAAATTGAACATCCAAAGTGAAGTACCAAGGACAACCTTCATATGAAATTTGAGAAAGGTTTGTCAAGTGCACTTGAGGGGAAGAAAGACACTGCCCACCATCTGATACACTGTACAAGCAATGTTGTCCTGAGCTATAACATGAAGTAATAACGGTAAACAATTTAATCCATAGTAACCCTGGAGTGACACCTTACCAACTTAACAGCTCTTTCTGTGAAATTTGAAGACATTGCTAGCATTTCTGATGACGGATGGAACCGAGTGTCAGTACATGGTGTTGTCAAGTTCATCAGAGCTTTCACAGGTTTTGGTGATCTCATTGTTCTGCACGTCTCAGCTTCATAGATGTTAACAACTCCACTGTATGACCTAGAAGTTGAAACAAGATGGCCATGTTTGAAGTTCCATGACAATAACATAAGAAATATAGTGTGACATTTTCTAGAACATATGTACGTTTTGGTAGATCTCTATAGAGCCTCATAATACAAGAAAAAGCAACAGCTGCAATAAGACTACCCTGTATGTAAAACAGTCTGTCCTACTGAAACTCAACTGAAACGTAATTCTGTATTTTTATATGGATGTGTTTTACCGGTAAAATGGTGATCATATATACTTGCATTTAATATCTATCACATTATACAAAGAAATATTTTCCTTTTCTAATCTTTACAAGAAAGGTCTTACTCTAATGCAGAGTAACCCTTTACATTTCTCACCATATATAACGGTACAAATCAACACTTTTTCCAGCTAAACATAAACACTGGGGTCAGGATGTCTGACACAGATGGCTAACGTCATGCTTCCTTAACCAACTCACAAGTCAGCAAGGGCCCAGCCCATGAGACTTAGCTTTTGGATTCCGAGATAAGTGACCTTGACTTTGCCCTTAGAAATGAATTAAACTCTAATTGCACATCTACATATCACAGTGTATCACCATGTCAAATTTCAGAAAGGTTAGACTTTGGGATTCTGAGAAAATTACCATACCCCCACAGTCTATTTTTAGTAACCTTGACGTTCACCAGACATTTTTTAAACAACTATTGCACATCTACATTTCAGTGTGTCACTATGTCAAATATCAGAAAGATTTATCTTTTGAATTCTGAGATAATCTCTGGAAATGAAAGTGTGAATGGTCGGCTGGACAGCCAGACGGACACTGTGATTACTATAGGGCACCCACACCTCTGATAGGAGGCCCTAATAAATATTTTATCTATTAATCTGAGGTTCCTCTAAAAACAGTTTGCTGATGTACCTACCCACATGACAGATACTGGCCATTAGGAGAAGCAGCAATACTAGTTCCCTTGGTACAGCCCTCATCAACAAAGCGGTGTACACAGTCCCGTGTACTCATGTCCCAGATGTACACCTCCCCATCATCTGAAACAGCAATGCAGCAAGTGCCACAGAGGGTCTGTCAAGCTCTACTTCATATTCAAGCAAACACGGCAAAACATTCTTATTAAAAGTAGTATTGCAAATAAGATCCCAGCGATAAGAGCCTGACCCCAGGGCCATTCTGGTAGCACAATTATGTGTATTTGTCGCTTTATGCACAGCAGTTGTATCATATGTTTTTAAGATGGGGGTCTCAACCATTTCAAGGTTACAGAAACTTTTTTATATCCCTCAATCTTTGGAGTCAGTCCTCCATTTGTACAAGTTTGAATCCTCAAAACTCTAAGAATGCTTCTAACCAAATATGGTGGATATCCTTCACTTAGTTGGGATGACACACAAATTTACATGGTCATAAAACCACAGGACAGTTGGAATACAGTCTCTGAAAGTCTGGAAGCTTGTCTGACAGATATCAGTATCTAAATGAACGCCAACATGCTTAAACTTAATCAGGAAAAGACGGAACTAATCGTCTTTTCCCCAAAGTGTCAGCAAACAATGGCTCTCCAACTCAAGGTTGGTGCCAGAACTATTGAGACTGTTCCAGCTGTTAAAAACCTAGGGGTATACTTTGACAGTTCTCTGAACATGGAGAAACAAGTGAACGCTATTGCCAAATCCTGTTACTACCAGATCAGGAACATCGGCTGTATTCGGCAGTTTCTAACTGCAGATGCATGCAAGATTTTGGTGCATTCACTTGTTACCTCTCGGTTGGATTATGGTAACGCCCTGCTCTGTGGTATATCTGACAAACTAACTAGTCGTCTGCAGAGGGTCCAGAACACTGCAGCACGGCTAGTTACTCGTACTCGAAAGAGAGAGCACATCACACCTGCGCTTTATTCGTTGCACTGGTTACCTGTACGATACAGGTCGCAGTACAAAATTCTGGTATACACATACAAGGCACTGAATGGAACAGCTCCTCAGTACCTACAGGAACTTGTTACCCTGTATCAGCCGTCAAGATCACTGCGGTCGGAGTCAGAATCTTTGTTGTGTGTCCCAAAATCTCGTACTGTGACCTACGGAAACAGATGCTTTGGGAGGGTTTCGGCTACGTTGTGGAATAGCTTACCATCTGCTATTAGGAAGTCGAATACCCTGGCCAAGTTCAAGAGGGACATAAAAACTCACCTCTTCACGTCTGCATTTTAGAATCTTTGCAAAGACGTCATGTAAATACCACCCTTTTATTTGTTCAATTATGTGCACATTGCTTGTTAAATGTATGAAAGTGATTGTAAGCCTTTGTTGTTTGTTTTCACAATTATAACCATTACTATTATCCATATGTTGTAAAGCGCCTTAGAGTAATTTTACAAATTATATAGGGCGCTATATAAATGCTGTATATTATTATTATTATTATTAGTTCTAGAGAAGAAGTCATTCAAAGCAATATGGCCAAATTACCCCCTTTTGATCCAGCCCCTCAGCTCCCTGTGAATTAAGCCTCTCCAATTGTACAACTTTGAATCCAAACCACTTAAGAATGCTTCTAACCAAATATGGTTGATATCTGCCTGAGTTTAAGAGAAGAAGTTGCTAAAAGGGAAATGGACAAATTACCCCTTTTTGGCTCCACTCCTCAGCCCCCAGGGGGAGAGCCCCTCCACTTTCACGTCTCTCAAGAAGTCTACTACAATATCTACAATATACTAACCTCCATGGGAATACATGGTTGTTCCATCTCTAGAGAAGGCTACTGACTCAACATTGCCATTCATCTTCAGACTTTGTATCCATTCTTTAGACTTGAAAAAAAATGTGAAAAACATATTACAAGAAGATCGACAAATTACCACCAGTGGACATGAAATTATTGAAGTCTTTAGGGACATCACATATGATAATTATTTGATTACCTTGGCAGAGATGAGATGCATGGAGCCATAAGATCCTAGGAACACAAGGTGGCGACCATCAGGCGACACCACAAAGTTCTTCATACTTGTCTCACCCAGTCCTATTGGAAAAAAGGTAGTATCTTATAGTGCACCAATGACTGTCTGGTATCCTGCTCAGATACACCTTGGTTCATACAGATACACCTTGGTTCATACAGACACACCTTGGTTCATACAGATACACTTTGGTTCATACAGATACACCTTGGTTCATACAGATACACTTTGGTTCATACAGATACACTTTGGGTTCATACAGATACACTTTGGGTTCATACAGATACACTTTGGTTCATACAGATACACTTTGGTTCATACAGATACACCTTGGTTCATACAGATACACCTTGGTTCATATCACAGATGGCTTTTATCTGGACATGTGCTTTTCCAGTATTTTGTGTACCTTGCCCACTGAGTATATGAAGGTGAGGTGGGCAAGGCAGTGTACGAATTGTGTGAAGTTAAACCTATCAATTCTCATATGTCAAATGACAAAAACAAGATACCTTTAATTTTTGGCACGTTGACTACTTTGCCAGCTATCATGTCATAGTAAACGAAACTCTTGTGTTTGGAGCTGAGCACCACTTCGTGGCCGTTCGGTGTGAAGTGTGCCGAGAAGATCGGAAAATTATCCAGGAAGACACTTTGAATCTTGGGGTTGTTCTTACCGTCTACCTGTAAGTAAACATGACATGAGTGATCAATCAGTTTTGATATAGGAGTAATTATTACATATATATAATACAGGCAAATCTCTTTTATACATCAATCTTAAAGGTTTAGCATCAGACAAACGTTACACACACAGGTGATCATTGCTCCTATACAATTGGTTAATTTGAAGTAGGGCCTTTGCCATGAAGAGTACTGGTTATTGTGAAGAGTACTGGTTAATTTAGTTAATTTGAAGAGTACTGGTTTATTTAGTTAATTTGAAGAGAACTGGTTTATTTGGTTAATTTGAAGAGTACTGGTTTATTTAGTCAATTTAAAGGTTTAGCATCAGACAAACGTTACACACACAGGTGATCATTGCTCCTATACAATTGGTTAATTTGAAGAGTATTGGTTAATTTGAAGAGTACTGGTTATTGTGAAGAGTACTGGTTAATTTAGTTAATTTGAAGAGTACTGGTTTATTTGGTTAATTTGAAGAGTACTGGTTAATTTGGTTAATTTGAAGAGTACTGGTTATTGTGAAGAGTACTTGTTAATTTAGTTAATTTGAAGAGTACTGGTTTATTTAGTTAATTTGAAGAGTACTGGTTTATTTAGTTAATTTGAAGAGAACTGGTTTATTTGGTTAATTTGAAGAGTACTGGTTTATTTGGTTAATTTGAAGAGTACTGGTTCATTTGGTTAAATTTGAAGAGTACTTGGTTATCTGGTTAATTTGAAGAGTACTGGTTAATTTGGTTAATTTGAAGAGTATTGGTTAATTTGAATAGTACTGGTTATTGTGAAGAGTACTGGTTAATTTTGTTAATTTGAAGAGTATTGGTTTATTTAGTTAATTTGAAGAGAATTGGTTAATTTGAAGAGTACTGGTTAATTTGGTTAATTTGAAGAGTATTGGTTAATTTGAAGAGTACTGGTTAATTTGGTTAAATTTGAAGAGTACTTGGTTATCTGGTTAATTTGAAGAGTACTGGTTAATTTGGATAAATTTGAAGAGTACTTGGTTATTTGGTTAATTTGAAGAGTTCTGGTTAATTTGGTTAATTTGAAGAGTATTGGCTAATTTGGTTAATTTGAAGAGTATTGGTTTATTTAGTTAATTTGAAGAGTACTGGTTTATTTAGTTAATTTGAAGAGAACTGGTTTATTTGGTTAATTTGAAGAGTACTGGTTCATTTGGTTAAATTTGAAGAGTACTTGGTTATCTGGTTAATTTGAAGAGTACTGGTTAATTTGGTTGATTTGAAGAGTATTGGTTAATTTGGTTAATTTGAAGAGTATTGGTTTATTTAGATAATTTGAAGAGAATTGGTTAATTTGAAGAGTACTGATTAATTTGGTTAATTTGGTTAATTTGAAGAGTACTGGTTATTGTGAAGAGTACTTGTTAATTTAGTTAATTTGAAGAGTACTGGTTTATTTGGTAAATGTGAAGAGTACTGGTTTATTTGGGTAATTTGAAGAGTACTTGGTTATTTGGTTAATTTGACGAGTACTGGTTAATTTGGTTAATTTGAAGAGTATTGGTTAATTTGGTTAATTTGAAGAGTATTGGTTAATTTGGTTAATTTGAAGAGTATTGGTTAATTTGGTTAATTTGAAGAGTATTGGTTTATTTAGATAATTTGAAGAGAATTGGTTAATTTGAAGAGTACTGATTAATTTGGTTAATTTGGTTAATTTGAAGAGTACTGGTTTATTTAGTCAATTTGAAGAGTACTGGTTTATTTGGTTAATTTGAAGAGTACTGGTTAATTTGGTTAATTTGAAGAGTACTTGGTTATTTGGTTAATTCAAAGAGTACTGGTTAATTTGGTTAATTTGAAGAGTACTTGTTTATTTGGTTAATTTGAAGAGTGCTGGGTTATTTGAAGAGTATTGGTTTATTTGGTTAATTTGAAGAGTATTGTTTAATTTGGTTAATTTGAAGAGTACTGGTTTATTTGAAGAGTACTGGTTAGTTTGGTTAATTTGAAGAGTACTGGTTTATTTAGTTAATTTGAAGAGTACTGGTTTATTTGGTTAATTTGAAGAGTACTGGTTAATTTGGTTAATTTGAAGAGTACTTCGTTATTTGGTTAATTCAAAGAGTACTGGTTAATTTGGTTAATTTGAAGAATATTGGTCAATTTGAAGAGTACTGGTTTATTTGAAGAGTACTGGTTAATTTGAAGAGTACTTGTTAATTTGAAGAGTACTGGTTTATTTGAAGAGTACTGGTTTATTTGAAGGGTACTGGTTAATTTGGTTAATTTGAAGAGTACTTAGTTATTCCGTTAATTTGAAGAGTGCTGGATTATTTGAAGAGTATTGGTTTATTTGGTTAATTTGAAGAGTATTGGTTAATTTGGTTAATTTGAAGAGTACTGGTTAGTTTGGTTAATTTGAAGAGTACTGGTTTATTTGGTTAATTTGAAGAGTACTGGTTTATTTGAAGAATAGTGATTAGGTGAGCTAATAAATAGAAGGAGGCAAGTTTACCTGGAACAAACTTAATGTTTGGTTTGAACCTGCTGTCATAATCACTTGAGCAGAAGGATGAAATTCAACTGCATACAGCTTCCCCTACAACAATTAAGGTCAAAGACAATACACAAACCTGTAATATAAGGTCAAAGACAATACACAAACCTGTAATATAAGGTCAAAGACAATACACAAACCTGTAATATAAGGTCAAAGACAATACACAAACCTGTAATATAAGGTCGAAGACAATACACAAACCTGTAATATAATATTACATCCTCCCCTACAAAAGTTAAGAATATTAAACAGTTATTAAAACTCAATACATCTAAGTAAATGTCAAATTTCATTAAACCCTCGTTTCCATACACCTTGAATGTTTAAGGAGAGGACCTGTTGTACAGTTGTCGGGTGTGGTTACCTGAGCAGGGCAGTCTCTGTTGGCGTTAGGACACTGTTTTATCTGTACAAAACCTTTAGCAAGGGACTTAGTGGTGGTCAGAAAGTCACCTGTCCGGGTCCTCAAATCCTCAACATCACTATCATCTGAAAAATAAGTAGGCACAACAAATATAAGTAGTCACATTCACAACAAAAATAAGTAGTCACATTCACAACAAATATAAGTAGTCACATTCACTGTCACAAGTAGTGTCGGTTTATCTCCGAGATGGTAACTGTTAGTATGAAAGAGTTTCTATGTATTTTTTTGCTATGGTATATTTTTCCATAGGCGGGGTTTTTATGTGGTTAAATACAGTACGGTACACTAGTACCAGTGATAGACATATCACAGTAGGGGAAATACGGTAAATTATGTGGGGTTTTCACCTGGGAGAGTAGGAGCCAATCAGAATTTAGCTTGGCCGTCACTGCGCTCCGAGTCACACACAGAGCAGCAAGGCATGGCGCAGCACCTGACGCTGGCTGCGTCCGTAAAACCTCAAGCTATGGAGTAGAACAGGTTTATAGAACTTCCCAGGGGTGAGTGTTATGCATAAAACCACTATTGTTTGTAACATGACCAGCTAAGTAGCTGTCATGGTCATTTTGTCTATTTTTGAACGAAAGAATGTTCTTTGCGAAATCCGCTCGCTCAACCATGTGCTATTTGGATGGGACGTGAGTGGGTTGATTACGAGTCGGATAATTAATGAAAGCTAACTGGTTTCAGTGCCATTTATGAACTGTTCTAGGCTGTTAGGCATATGTTAAATGGTTGTAATATATTGTCAATATGTAAAAGTTGTTTTAGGGGTAATTTTACGAACCGGAAGTTCGAATATGTTTGATACCGGAAGTGACCCTTAGGTTGTTGACCTTTTGTAGTTCGAGTGATGGGGACCATGCAGTTGGGGTCCTGTGGCCAGTGTGGGGACGGGATAACACGAGAGTGACGGCACCCAGGCCATTTCAACTTCCACCTACATCCTTCGTCACGGCTGCTCGTCACGGACTCTTCTCAGACGGCTCAGACGCTTCGTGGAGACGTCACAGACAGTCACGCCACGACAGGGATGAGGAAGGGCCTGGACACTTCAACGACTCCTGAGGAACCCCTATGACTTCAGAGACAGGGTGAATCTACATCACAGCCCTCTGCTACGTCTATATGAACATTCGTGCACTTCAGTATTGTGTTAACATTTAAATAGGACATTGATGTGGCCTACACCTACAGGTAGTTGTGACACTACAGAACTGTGCTTATACCCGCAGTGGGGTAGCTAGTGAAACTAACTATTAAGCTTAGTTGTGTGAATACTTCATGACCAAAGCCTTATATTTCAGGAACTTTACAACGTATTACTATGTAGGGTGTGACAGGGATACTCAAGTCTAGTCATGAGAGTGTATGTTGATGCTGTGTGGTAATCAGTATGCAATAGAGCGTTTGATCCTAGTGCGATTACCACCAGGTAATAGTTCCTTTTACAGAGAGAAACTCAATCGTTATCACTTGTGTAGATTCTGTACATATATATAGTAAATTGTTAATACATTTGTTGAATTTATATCATTGTTGTTGATTCTACCTCCATCATCCGGTATTCACTCCTCGACTTCGTGACATTCACAACAAATATAACACATTCACAACAAATATAACACATTCACAACAAATAAAATATAACACATTCACAACAAATATAACACATTCACAACAAATATAAGAACCTTAGTCCCATTCACAACAAAAATAACGCATTCACAACAAATATAAATATCTTAGTCACATTCACTTTATGTGATAAAGTCCTATTTTACTACTTTATGTGATAAAATCCTATTCTACTACTTTATGTGATAAAGTCGTATTTTACTACTTTATGTGACAAAGTCGTATTTTACTACTTTATGTGATAAAGTCCTATTTTACAACTTAAGTGATAAAGTCCTATTTTACAACTTTATGTGATAAAGTCCTATTTTAATAATTTATGTGATAACGTCCTATTTTACTACTTTATGTGATAACGTCCTATTTTACTACTTTATGTGATAACGTCCTATTTTACTACTTTATGTTATAAAGTCGTATTTTACTACTTTATGTGATTAAGTCCTATTTTACTACTTTATGTGATAAAGTCATATTTTACTACTTTATGTGATAACGTCCTATTTTACTACTTTATGTGATAAAGTCCTATTTTACTACTTTATGTGATAATGTCCTATTTTACTACTTTATGTGATAAAATCCTATTTTAATACTTTATGTGATAAAGTCCTATTTTACAACTTAAGTGATAAAGTCCTATTTTAATACTTTATGTGATAACGTCCTATTTTACTACTTTATGTGATAAAGTCCTATTTAACTACTTTATGTGATAACGTCCTATTTTACTACTTTATGTGATAAAGTCCTATTTTACTACTTTATATGATAACGTCCTATTTTACTACTTTATGTGATAAAGTCCTATTTTACTACTTTATGTGATAAAGTCCTATTTTACTACTTTATGTGATAAAGTCCTATTTTACTACTTTATGTGATAAAGTCCTATTTTACTACTTTATGTGATAAAGTCCTATTTTACTACTTTATGTGATAAAGTCCTATTTTACTACTTTATGTGATAAAGTCCTATTTTACTACTTTATGTGATAAAGTCCTATTTTACTACTTTATGTGATAAAGTCCTATTTTACAACTTAAGTGATAAAGTCCTATTTTACAACTTTATGTGATAAAGTCCTATTTTAATACTTTATGTGATAAAATCCTATTTTACTACTTTATGTGATAAAGTGCTATTATACTACTTTATGTTATAAAGTCGTATTTTACTACTTTATGTGATAATGTCCTATTTTACTACTTATGTGAGAATGTCCTATTTTAATACTTTATGTGATAAAGTCCTATTTTAATACTTTATGTGATAACGTCCTATTTTATTACTTTATGTGATAACGTCCTATTTTACTACTTTATGTGATAAAATCCTATTTTAATACTTTATGTGATAAAGTCCCTTTTTAATACTTTATGTGATAAAGTCCTATTTTACTACTTTATGTGATAAAGTCCTATTTTACAACTTATGTGATAACGTCCTATTTTACTACTTTATGTGATAAAGTCCTATTTTACTACTTTATGTGATAAAGTCCTATTTTAATACTTTATGTGATAACGTCCTATTTTACTACTTTATGTGATAAAGTGCTATTATACTACTTTATGTTATAAAGTCGTATTTTACTACTTTATGTGATAAAGTCGTATTTTACTACTTATGTGAGAATGTCCTATTTTAAGACTTTATGTGATAAAGTCCTATTTTAATACTTAATGTGATAATGTCCTATTTAACTACTTATGTGATCACGTCCTATTTTAGTACTTTATGTGATAAAGTCCTATTTTACTACTTTATGTGATAAAGTCCTATTTTACTACTTTATGTGATAAAGTCCTATTTTACTACTTTATGTGATAAAGTCCTATTTTACTACTTTATGTGATAAAGTCCTATTTTACTACTTTATGTGATAAAGTCCTATTTTACTACTTTATGTGATAAAGTCCTATTTTACTACTTTATGTGATAAAGTCCTATTTTACTACTTTATGTGATAAAGTCCTATTTTACTACTTTATGTGATAAAGTCCTATTTTACTACTTTATGTGATAAAGTCCTATTTTAATACTTTATGTGATAACGTCCTATTTTACTACTTTATGTGATAAAGTGCTATTATACTACTTTATGTTATAAAGTCGTATTTTACTACTTTATGTGATAAAGTCGTATTTTACTACTTATGTGAGAATGTCCTATTTTAATACCTAATGTGATAAAGTCCTATTTTAATACTTTATGTGATAACGTCCTATTTAACTACTTATGTGATAACGTCCTATTTTAGTACTTTATGTGATAAAGTCCTATTATACTACATTATGTGATAACGTCCTATTTTACAACTTTATGTGATAAAGTCGTATTTTACTACTTTATGTGATAAAGTCCTATTTTACTACTTTATGTGATTAAGTCCTATTATACTACTTTATGTGATAAAATCCTATTTTACTACTTTATGTGATAAAGTCCATTTTACTACTTTATGTGATAAAGTCCTCTTTTACTACTTTATGTGATAAAGTCCTATTTTACAACTTAAGTGATAAAGTCCTATTTTACAACTTAAGTGATAAAGTCCTATTTTACAACTTTATGTGATAAAGTCCTATTTTACAACTTTATGTGATAAAATCCTATTTTACTACTTTATGTGATAAAGTCCTATTTTACAACTTTATGTGATAAAGTCCTATTATACTACTTTATGTGATAAAGTCCTATTTTACTTCTTTAACATTGTCCTTTTGACTTACCATCGGATCCAGGCTGTTCTGTCTCTGGGTCCGTGGCTCTAAACTTGGACCAATTAGGATTAGAGGATACCTTTTCAAACCTGCGAAAACAAGGCAACACCAATTGAAAATGCTATACAACAAAATGAACACTACATTAGCCAATCAAAAACGTCAATAAAAACTGTGTCTACTTTACAAATGTCAATAAAAACTGTCTACTTTACAAACGTCAATACAAACTGTGTCTACTTTACAAA